CCAATAGTAAAAATCTAAATTGTTTTTTAAGCATTTTTGTCACTCTGATTCAATAGCTGACATTGTACTTTGGCACTCAATGCAAATGACAAGCAGCTTGCTATGTTTGGTATTTTCTCAGTGTGTTTATGAAAGTCAGCCATTTTGAATTAAAATAAACTTATAATAATCAATGTGAATAAAAATAATTTATCTATATTATAAATAATAAATGTGGTCACATTATAGTTATTTTAAAAATAAATAAACTAAATAAATATTTGTAAAATTTAAAAAAAAAACGTAATTAATACTGTGGGGTGTTTGGACACCCCACTTAGAACTGTTGTTTTTTTCTTACTGGAATTTCTGCAGCATCCTAGTAATTTCTGAGCATGCTCTATACATAAAATCATGAAGCTACTGAAGAGGACACAAATATTTCTTGCGAAATCTATGAATAGTGCAACTTTCAAAACGTTAGGAGTGGCGAAACGCCCCACTGCACTAACCCAGGGTTAATAGTAGCTGTGCAGTTTGGTTTGTTCCTGTAAAATGAAAATTGCACAATACTGAATTTGTACACGACTTCAACCCATTTTTATACATTTGAGGGTTGGTAGGTTTTTTGCATAACTGGTCCCCATTAACGTTATATTTCTCTTAAGTTAACTTAATATTTCATTAAATAAAATGATTAAAATAGTTAAGAAAACTAAATATGATTTTTATAGTTTCTGTAAGGAGGACTCTTTCAAGAGAAGAATCTGAATTGGCTTATCACACCTTAAGACGCTATAGAAGAGGTCCAATTAATTTAGACCCCAAATCAATTATTTTAAAAGAAAAAATAGGTATATACAATTCTTTTATATTAATTATATGAAAAACTTTAAGATGTTTAAAGCTTTTCTTATTTTTTATTAATATAAGTTGTTATACATCTAAAATATCAGAATTAAAATTAGTTATTACTTATAATGCAATAATGCTTAATGCAAATCATAATCTTGTGTTATAATCATAAACGATATCATGAATAAATGAAAAATAATAAATAAATATTTGTCAAATTTATTACAATAAAATTATAATATGTCAATGATTGAAAACTAATGCAATATTTACTTCGTATTATTTGACTTTATTTATAAGCAAAAATTTTCTTTCAAAAAGCTTTTCATTTGTATTATTATTTTTTAAAATTTTACTTGTAGAAATTCAATTTTGTTTCTAGAACAGAAACAAATAAATTTTAGTCATTAACAATTATCATAATAGAAATATAGCAAAAAACATTAAATGAATATTTATTAAAATTTTTAGGATCTGGTAATTTTGGTGAAGTGCTTCGAGGCGTATTTGCTACAGGTCCAATGGAAGTACAATTTGCCCTCAAAATGTTAAAAAATAATTCTGTGCCTAATCAAAAGGTAATTTTCATAATAGAAAATTTTATTTCTAATTAAGGATGTTAACAAAAATAAAATTTTAGACAGAGATATTGAAGGAAGCTCAGATGATGGCAGCTCTTGATCATCCTCATATTGTTAGACTCATTGGTAAGTATTAAAAATTATATAATAAGAAGCAATTATTTATTTGAAGAATGTACACATAGCAAATATAATAATTAATTTTTTAAATCTTAAGAGTATGGTTCTCAAACGTTTTTGGTTCACGGCACACTAAAAAAACATTAAAATTTTTCTGGTGCACTTAATGTACAAAATTAAAAATGTGTTGTTTTTTTCAAACAGAACATATCTTGAAGAATGAGTTTTATTACTACTGTATGAAACTTTGCACATGCAATAGGTCTGTAAAAATAAAGAAATAATTACATTTTAATAACAAAATAACTTTTAATTAGAACACAGTAGCAACATTAAGTGTCCCCTATGCTTCAGCACCACAGGACCGAAGGATCAACATCACATCGGCGAAGACTGCAATGACTAATTTGTCAGGACTGACACCACTGTGTCTGCCCAGAAGACACAGAGACTGTTATGTTTGCATTTACGTGTGAGCAGTTGCGTCTATAGGTGGTTGGACTTGGGATGGAGATCAATTGGGCTAAAGAAGTGCACTTTACAATTCGATTATAGAAAATAATACCCATTTATTGATTATATAAACTAGTTACAAATATGCTTTAAGTGAGAGAGAGTTTACAAATGTTTGTACGTGGTATTTACCTGAAGATTGCTCTTTTGGTCCTTTTTCAGTGGAGACATGTCCTTGTTGGGTACTTGGGGTCATCAGCTATTGGCGGTTAAGCTTCTGATTACTGGTTATTGGAGGAGCATTGGCAACGAAATGTATCTGAGTATACAAACACGACCAACCTTTGAGGACGGAAAAACTCTCCTGTCGGCCGAACTCCCTGTCATGTCATTGAACCTTCTGCTTTATTTGGGGGTCCTCCCCTTGCAACTATTGTCCTTTTGTGGTAAAATTGTTCTTCACGTCCAATGGCGATTTTTGCATTTGATTCCTAGTGACACATTTGATGTGTCACCTTTTTTTTTTTTTTTGAAAAATTTTCCTGTGTAGTCTGGCCTCTCACAGTTACATGTTAATATGTAATGAAAGCTCCTCAGTGGCAATACAAACCATATACAGCATTGCATGGAATCAAACAACAGTCTAATGTTATTCTGTGACAGACTCCTCCAGAAATTCTGAAATTGTTGGGCTAGTTTGCTTACATTCTGTGATGTCTGCAATTATCTTCTTAGCATATACTATACATGCTTGATTAGTGAGAAGTCTGAGAAACCTGATTGGCCATGGAAGTGTATGCATCCATAAAGACATTGCTTAGAGATTCTCGTCACGTTGTTCATAAATAGCTTTGAAAGGCATGACATCATAGGCAATACAGCTGGCTGCAGAATGTTTTAAATGTACTGGTATGGTGTCATAGGAGACTAGATTGTAACCTCATATATGGTGGCTTTCTGCCACTCAACTACTGCAACTGAATTAGAGCAATGACTATGCCTCTTCTATATCATCTGTATCCAGAGAAAAGTGGCATTCATCACTATACTAGATACTATACAACACTAGTCAAATATCATCCAGGATCTCCAAATTGACAACTATCTGACAGTATTGCCTATGTTGGGAGTGAATCACTGACTATGTCACTCCCAAATGATAAATGTCATGATTATGGAAGATGACCACAATCTGACATCTATCACTTTAGATTTCATTTTAAATGGTCATCAGTTTCCATTTAAAATGGAAGAAAACATTTGTTTTGTTTAAATATATGTATAGTTTCAGTTTACTTGTGCAGTGGTTGTTTTTTGTTTTATATTCATTATTTGATGGATTTTTTGATGTTAGGTATATTTATTACTAAATTACAACAGTATTGTCATAGAGACTGTATTCATAGCCTATTATTTTCTTAATTTTATAGGTGTTTGTGAAGGAGAATCATTCATGTTAGTTATGGAATTAGCACCTCTTGGTCCTTTGAATAAATATCTTAGATGTCACAGGTAAACATTTTGAAACTTGTAATTTAGAAATATTTCTGTTTATATATACAGTAGGTGTCACATATTGTAATTGCAGATATTATTATTAGTTATCTAATATTATCAAAATTAATATATCTCAAAGCATAAATTAAATAACATACAAAACTTTAATCAGAAATTCACTTATTAGTAACATAATAATAATTATAAGTTTGAATTTAATAACCAATTGTTAATAACAACCAACTGACAAAACAGTTAACAGTTATAAGCCATGCTGTTCCAATAAAAACGTTATCACAACATAGAATAAATTTACATTAAATTATCCAATTATATAAGATGCTTACTTTTAATATTTTAAATGTTCATTTTAACCTTGCATTCAATACTGTATACAGTACTATACTTTAAATTTTGATTTCTGGCATTTGTTACTTCATTTATAGCATTTATACCAGTTTCACTTTTTAAATAGGCACAGACATTTGAAATTAAGTTGTGTTTGTTGAAGAGATCATAAATAACATTCCAGCAAATACATCGAATGAAAAGTTTAAAAAATTGATTGATAATTGAAAAGGAAATTCCAGTGTCTGCTATAATGATGTCATCCAGTAATATGCCAAATTGTTACTGAAAAAGACTTTGGAGAGTTAGCTGATAAAATTGGAAAAAATCAGCACAAAAAGGTAGTCTAGATTGGTCATGAGCAATCCACAGCTTATGAGGTTCTAATATGTACTAGGTTTTGTTGTTTGATAGAGATGGTGCTAGTAGGTTCGCGGTTTTATTTCTCTAAAAATGGTACTACTATTTTATGAACATTTGTGAAGTTTCATGTAGATCTGTCAACTCATTCATATATTTACAGCTGTTTAAAATTGACGTGTCACTGTATTTTTTTACAATCGAAAAAATTGAATATCATGCAGTGATAAAATTCTTATTTTTGGAAGGTGTAGCATCAAAACAAATTCATGAACGATTGTTAGAAGTGTATAAGATTTGTATGACCACATTTAAATTCAGCAACCCAACTGAATTTAAACGTGGTCGTACAAGTCTTGAAGATGATCCATGTGAAGGACATCCAAAAAGTTCATCAACACCAGAAATCGTAGCAAAAATACAGCATATGGTTTTCGAAGATCATCGATTAACCAAGAGAGATTTAGTAGAAGCCTAGAGATCTCATTAGACAGTGTGAGCAATATTTTGGCTGAAGTTGTGGGTTACAGAAAGCTATGTGCACAATGGGTGCCACATTCGATAACAATGGAACAAAAACACATTCAAATGCAACTTTCTCGACAACATTTGGAGCATTTTAGAAAGGATAAAAAGGATTTTGTGCGTCATTTCATCACTATGGATGAGACTTGGATCTACCACCATGATCCTGAATCAAAACAGGAGGCTAAGGAGTGGTGTGAACCCAGTACTTTAGCTCCAAAGCGAGTTAGGGTGCATAAATTGGCCAAGAAAGTGTTAGCATCAGTTTTTTTAGATGCAAAAGGAATTTTGTTCGTGCATTACCTTCAAACTGGTAAAATGATAAACTCAGATTATTATTGTAACCTTTTGAACTAGCTGAATGTAAAAATTTGTGAGAAAATATCTGGTTTACAGAAGAAAAAATCATTTTTAATCAAGACAATGCACTCTCTCACACAGCTCAAAAAACCATCACAAAAATCAGTGAATTAAAGTACGAATTGTTGCAACATCCACCCTAATCGCCAGATTTAGCTCCCTCTGACTTCTGGCTGTTCTCACACCTCAAAAAATTCATATGTGGGAAACAATTTTCATCGAATGAAGAGGTAATAGTAGCCGTGGAAGCATATTTCGACAGTCTTCCAGATTCTCACTTCATGGATGGAATCCATAAATTAGAAGATCACTGGAACAAGTGTATTGAAGTTCAGGGAGATTATATTGAATAATAAAATGTATTTCAAACCATAAAATCGTGTTTTTCTTATCAAATTACAAAACTTATTGAACAACCTGGTAGCTCCTGGGGTTTTGGCAATGTAATTTTCTTTTTCTGTTTTCTGTCTCATGCCATTATTTGACCCTAATTAAGCTGATATTCATGAAAAGAAAACAGTAAAACTAAACTTAATCAGTGAAAGCATGCCAATAAATTATATACAGTATTATTAGTTTACATATTATTAGCATATACAGGAAATCCTCATTAATTCAAACTCAGATAGTTCAAAATTCCATTACTATACTGTTTTTCCAGTCAGGGATTTACATTTTAAGGAATTAGGTTAGTTCAAAATTCATAGTGAAAATTCTGTCTGAACTGTGATATGTGTATTTGAGTTCATATCATAAGGCTCAGTAGAGGCAAGCCATCAAATAAGTGAATGAATGAATGAATGAAGGAATGGCTTAACAATTCCGTTTTATATGAATTCCATGTCGTATGTGTCACTTAGATTTTACAAATACATGTGCTGGGCTGTGAATGGCTCACATATTTGTAAAATCTAACTGACTCATACAACATGGAATTCATATAAAATAGAATAATCAACAGTGTTATAGGGGAGTTGACTGTACTGGAATTAGAACACCTGTCTATCTGAATTTTTATTTTTATTGTATTTTAACAAAAGATAATGGTCATATACAAAGAGTTTAACCACAAAATGGAAGAAGAGGGAAAGGGAAGGAGGAGGCTGAAGAGATAGAAAGGACAGAAAGGAAGGATCCCTCTGATCAGTGTACATAAGATCACAACTCCCTCTATGATTAATGTTGGCATGCAGTTTTTAGGCTACAAAGCCATGGGTCTAAAAGGAAATCTGAATTATAGCATACATCAATAAGTAATGCAGCTGTAAGTAACTCTGTCTAGCATAAAAGCTAGACAGAGTTAAGTTTAACCCTTTCGCCCTGAATATAAATTTTGATCCAAAATAAAAGATACAATAAAGATGAGTTACTTTAAGTCAAATTGAAGATTTTTTGTGAAAAAAATTAAATATAGTTAATGGGGTCAGCAAGGGTGGATGGTACATGTGTGTACCAATAGGGTTTTTACTTGGTACATATATGTACCAGCAGTTGTATTCAATTTATTCACTTTCACTTTCTGTCCCATCATCAGTCAGNGTTACACATGCATATTTAGCATTCAGTTATTAATAGTAGCAGTAATATAGCCCAATATAATCTGGCAATCATTTGGCTTTAAAATATAAGCTATGTAAATGTACAATGTTGGGCATGTTGCACTGTTACAATAGGTATAAAAATTTAACTTAATCTGTTTGTTCCAACATCAATGTCTCTATTTCCTTCTATCTGGTCTTATCGTGGTGAATATACATAATTTGCTGTTAACATTCTCAATAACAACTTAGCTTATGCTTTATTCTTATTAAACTAAATAACAACAAAGCTAATGAATTTAATCTTTTTGTCAATAGGGATAGATAAAATGGTAATTGATGATGACAAATTTGGATGGGAATTAGTAGTTTTTCGAATGTTTGACTGAATAAACAAGAAATATTGAAGACATCATCTTATCAAAAAAGTTAAAACAGAGAAAGCAAATGTCTATTTCAGATTATTTTAACCATAGATTGGACAAGGAGCCTACATGAAGGACCAGTGGGCATTTCTGGATGACCTTGGAACATGCTTACAACTCTTAATCGGGGCATACCATTGGTCCTGGTTGGTCATGATTGCTCATTGCATCTTTCTAATTTAGTGAAATTGAAAAAATGAGGGGATGCTTTGCATGCATTTTCAAAATGGTGAATTGTCATGGATGTGCATCTATCTGTTTTTGTTGGAAATGCAAATCACTAATCTTGGTAACATTAGGAGCTGCTAGAAGTCTGCTATTGAAGTGTTGTGTTGCATTTTGATTAATCTGGACAACATAAAATTATAATTATTATGTTCATTGCATTTTATGCTAATAAAACATTATGCTTGATAATAGTTTTTTTTAATTAGTTGCCTACTATTAAATACCATTAGTGTAGCAATCAAAATAACTGATTGCTTAAACTGGTTTGTAAGGCTGCGGTAATACAGGTCTTTTGTTCATCCAAATTATCATTAAATCAGACATTTAAGACTTATACTTTACATTTTCATGTACAGTACATAGCATTTTGAACAAGTTTGCTATATTTACTAGTATGAGTACTGGTATACTCTAGTATAACACTACAGGAGGGAAATTAACTAGGCATTAAGAAATTGCAATAATTTTTGTAATAATAATGCAATTATAATAAAATTTGTGTGCGTGTACATCAATCAATGGAATTTTATAATTCTCATATCAATGGTATGGGCAGTGACCAAGAGAGTCTACATACAGTGGCAAAAAGATGGCCAACCACTTGTCTGTTCAGGAGCAAGTGCAGATTGCTAGATACTATGAGATGTGGAAATCATTGGTTGCTGTGCAGAGTTGGTGGCCTGCTTGATTGACACATTTCACAATGAATGACAGTGAACAACAGACATGTCAAGTCACAGACAAACACACATTGTCCAAACAGTGAAAAATATTGAACATTGATATAGACTGACAGATGGTAGAGTATTTTTTTTACTTGTGGAAAGACCAGATTCATTTCAGATCTGGTCTTTCCATGCAATTGTAAGAGATCTCAGATGGCCAGTGTGTGCCAGTAGGTTGTTTTACATCAACTGTTAGATAATAACAAGGATCAGTGGATGGCATTGGCACTAGTTATTGAACTATCAAGCAGAAAGTAATGCATTTCTCACACAAATCATGGAAGGAGATGAGACATGTTATGTCTATTTTGAACCCACAGGAAAAGCTATAAGCATGCAATGGAGGCATGCAGGTTGTCATTATGCTGAAGAAATTATATACTCATCCTAAGTTTTGACATTGAAAGATTCCTTACATGTGGAATTCAAACTGCAAGATGAAACCATCATTGCAAATTGTTATGGTAAAACATTGCAGCAGCTGCAGAGATAAATCAAAAACAATC